TCACTCTCAAGTTTTATGTGGCAAATACATGTGATTTCCCCATTTATAGGTGTGATACATGACATTGTTATGCCCATATATGGTTTGTTTCACATCCAACAGCAAGCACACTCAATTACAGTGTAAAACAAAAAATGTCTTGAAGGTTTAGAAGATGGAGTTCCTAATGTGTAACAGGACAGGATATGCCATTCATTGTTAGAACCGCGCATGCTCATATCAAGGTTAATTGATGTAAAAACCATACGCACAACAAACGTTTTGGATACGAGTATGCACGGTTCTAACCACAAATTGTTAATCTTAACCAAGCTATAGCTTCATAATTAGTTCTAAATCAATGATTGTTCCAAGTTTGTTCTGTACACTTAGAGACACTCACCTACACATGAACTCTGTTTAAGATATTGAGCTCTATTTGTGACAGTATTTTACTCATCAGCTTAAAATACAAGTCTCTTCCAAAAGTTTGTGGGTGTCATTTTTTTTGTTCTTATCATTTAGAGATGATCTAAGTAACGAGAACAAAATTCTTGGGAAAGAGAATGCCAGGTTAAAGCACGATTTAACAAATGTTAGGTAAGTTACATACAACAATAGTACAAAAATCATCTATCCTTAATCTTGTGACATCACTGCATCATATCAATAATTGTTTCATACTCATTTAGGCACATGGACTAAGGAGTGAATTTAATTGTCATGGTCATGTACAGTATTTTTATACACTGTAGTGACAATGCATCTCCCTCTTCCAATATAATTATCATGACATACACATGTCACACTATTACTCGTCAGGGGTGTAGGGTGATTTCAGCCTGTGTGTGAGGGGCGTGGGGTGCAAAAACTAAGAATGCGGAATTAAATCCCAGTATGCAGAACTAAATCCCCAGTAATACCAATGAAAACTTAATGTCATTTTTAGTATTTTAACCCACTTAGTGGAAGTAATTTGCTGCCACGGGGGAAGGGAGTGCACCCATGTTACTCTAATTGTTTATAGATTTGTAATTTATGCTTTAATAATTATTAAGTGCTTCTGAATTTATTGTTTTGCAGGCAGGTCATGGAAGAACAGAAGGCAGACATTTCTCAAATCCAGACATCTGCATACGATAATGATGTTAAACAAAGAGAGATGCAGTGGAAAGTGGAACAGCTAACCAAAGAACTGACAATGGAGAGAGATATACAAGATAAACTAGAGAAAAGGTAAACTTGTTTTACAGAATTTGTGAGGATATATATATTGCAGAATCTACAATTAAGTTTTGATTGTCAACCTCATTTCACACCATAAAATATTTGTGACAAGAAACTGTGATATGTCCATATTTTGGGGTGACAAGAAACTGTGATATGTCCATATTTTGGGGTGACAATAAACTGTGATATGTCCATATTTTGGGGTGACAAGAAACTGTGATATGCCAATATTTTGGGGTGACAATAAACTGTGATATACCCATATTTTGTAGTGACAAGAAACTGTGATATGCCCATATTTTGTAGTGACAAGAAACTGTGATATGCCCATATTTTGTGGTGACAAGAAACTGAGATATGCCCATATTTTGTAGTGACAAGAAACTGTGATATGCCCATATTTTGTGGTGACAAGAAACTGTGATATGCCCATATTTGGTTGTAATATGACATCATCATGCCCATATATGGGCACATCACACAATTTTTTTTACATAAAGTTTGATAGTGTGGACAGAGCTGTAACATTTCAAATTGATTTCCTTTTGTTTCTGTGATTATAAAGCTGTGATGAAAAAGATCTGAAGATCCATGATCTGAAAAAAGAACTGACATTGAGAGATGACAAAAAGAAGATAGAGGAGCTCAGAAATTCAAGGAATGATGGCCATACAAGTGATCAAAGGTATAATATTTACTAAAAAGGGAAAATTTTAGGAACATGCACCTAGATGCCCAGAAATGGCATGCTATAAAAAAAATCCTTTTTTTAAAGCAGTGTTTCCAGACCCCTACTGTTGCTGCCACTGTACATTAATTGTACACAAACAATAATGAACTTTTGTGAATACTTACCAGTTTTGTGATTGTGTCACATTTGAGATAAGATGGTCATAATCTGTTTCCATCTGGTATCACTTTGTTGCTTGTAGTACTGCTGTTGATCTGGAACACATGATGAAGGACTTGAGCTCAGAGATCAAATCTGCAATGAAGAAGTCTGCTGCACGGGAGAATGATTCTGATGATAAGAAAAAAGTAAACAAATGTATCCATTAGAACCATTTTGTTTTAGGTTTTACTTGCTCAATGAGAAGCCCTCAAGTGTTGAAAAAAAATAAATATAAAAAAATATATATGCATAAAGGTATCTGATTTTTACTTTGATACCAACTTGGTGATGACCACAAAGATAGTTTTGACAATTCCGACTTTGGTAATTAGTTGAACAACTGATAGTAAACAATAATGTTAAATTCAAATCTGTTGTAACAAGACATGCTTTCAGCCACGTACAGTATCTAAGTTGTTGGGGCACAACCCCCACCAAAAAAAAGTTTGTACCACTATAAATTTGCTTTTAGAAGTTAAAATCACCTCAAACTAAATCATTCACTAACTAGTTACCCCCACTTCCATTTTACACCCTCATTATACCCCGTGCACTACCCTTAGATATGCCATTGCAGATTATGTCACTTATAGATTACTTTCTTTCTACCCTACCATACATTTGTTTAGAATCATTAAATATTCTTTATATACCTTCAATTTTATCAGAACAATGAACTTGAGATGAAGGTTCACATTCTTCACATGCAGCGATTAGCAGACATGGAGAAAATCAGTCAACTACAGGGCAACCTCAAGGATGTCACCAGCAAACTGGAGAGAAAGGACCATGAAACTAGCTCACGCAACATTGCTGACAGGTATGTAGCCAACAGTTTTTAAGGCACAGTCTTGCACAGTGCTCAGAATATATATATTCCAAACATATCAGTTTTTAAATACCTGCTAGAAATTAAACATCCAGAGCTCTTATTCCTGTGGTCGGTTAGCTGTGATAAAGTTAATTGTCTCATTTGACTGTTATAAAGATGTGTCCATCACATGGGCACCAGGGGTGGGTCCAGAGATGTCCGAAAGGTGGGGGCCAATCAAGATAACACTACCCTAGGTGCGTGCCCCTGCGAAATTGTTGCGTTCTAAATGCCCGAAAATAACCTCTGAGGCGTTTTGGACGATCAATATTTCCTTTTTTTCTTTCTTTTTTTTTACTTTCCAAATGGCGGGGGCTGGGCCGGGGCCAGCCCACCCCAACTAAATTCGCCTCTTGGCACATCAGTTTGCCCCTTGATTATTCGCAGAGAAACATTTGAATAAATAATGTTAAGAGTTATGTTTGGTTATGAGAAAAATTCTGATATGCTTTTTAAGGATTTGCACCAAGGACCACAGGATTGCAGGGCAAGCACTTTACTGGCTCCTAATTTTACCAATTGTATGCATACCTGTACATTCATTGCCTATGATGTACTCTATTTCAAACATGTAAATCATCTCTTTCAGGACTAGCCCCAATGCAACAGACATCTGCCAGGCTCTTGCTCGTGCCCAAGTCCGAGCATACGCTATGAGTCTAAATGAAACCCCCCTCTACCAGTTTGAAAGTTCAAATCTCAGCGGACTTCAAGCACCTGGATTTTCTTTCACAAGCCCTAACATGAGAACATCAACCCCGAACCGTAGTGCGCACAAAGGTTCAGAAAAAAAGTTGTTTTGATATATTTAACATTTTATCTATAAATATACAGTATCTAATATTCACTAATATTATATTTGTGTTATTGTGCAATAGTGATTCTAAATCAATGCATTTATAAAAATATATTTTCTTAAATGAATTTCAAGATTATTTGTTATATAAAACTCAAGAAATATTTATGATATATAGTTTTAATTATAATAGTACTGTATTACAAAATAAAATATTATTTGCCAAATGAACAATTATATTACAAATGGAAAAGTATATAACTGGAAAATAAAGACAATTTGAACAAAAATACAGGAGATGTTATACTTTGGTTTTTGGCTTTATTTACACTATTTGTACAGTTTTATACAAGTAACTGCAAGTACTGCAACATTAGGATTGAACTTGCTCTCAAGAAGTAGCTACTCCACAAGCACAAGTTCTGAAGGTCATGGGTTCATTTCCCAACTGAATCACTTGCAGTATTTTTTCACATGTATTTGGGATTGTACTGAGCAGTCAGTGAAATATCAGGTTGAGTAAAACATTCCTAATAGTAATGTAGGATCTTAGCTGCCCCATACAGTATGAGGTTTATTCCTTTTAGTAAAAATAATGCCTGTCCATACCAGGTCCGATAATTAATGTCGTTGACAATGATCAATATTTTCAAGAGTTTTCATTTTGTGGTTGAATGTACTCCATGATTTCCTTAACCATTTCATCATCAATGCCTTCCTCCTCCTCCTCCTCTTCCTCTTCTTCCTCTTCTTTCTCCTCTTCATCACCACTTATGTTCATTCCATGTTCACTTTCTTCAGCTTCATCCTCGTTCTGTCTATCCGATAAATACACTGAAAAAGAAACCACTTCAAATTTATTTAAAGTAAAGAATATAATATCATGATAGCATTAATATTATTAATATCAAACACAAACTACAGGGGGCACTCAATAAACAACATACCTCTACCAGACCACTTATAAAAAAATATACTTATAATTTAGAAAAAAAAGATAAATAGACAAAAGAGTGAAAATAAATTAAAAACAATGGATTTGAAGATTTTAAAGTTAGAGAGTGTTATAACAACATTAAAAATGCATATTACCCTAGAAATCATGCAACTCACTTTCTTTGACTTTGGCTGTGATGAGGTTATGTATGATGTCTCGCATGTTTTGAAACGAGTCCGGCAGAAGCCATCCATCTCGCTCATCGCAAGCTTTCTCGCATCCATCATTAGCATGAACGATCTCCTGAAGCTCATCATCCTTAATGTCACATACTTGGTAGTACATTTGATAAAATGGTGGAAGAACGTCCCTAGTGAATATATAATGGTTCTCCTGAAATATAAGAAAATTAATATGCAAGTGATGTTTGTCAGCAAACATTTATTAACAATAAAAGCATAAAATAACTCATTTTTTATAACAACTGATAGTTGTGAAAATTTTTGAGATGATAATAACAGCAATAACAATATTTATAATAAAAATTGAAATAAACATTACTGTATTAATAAATAAATATTGATATGCATTTATTTTGTGCTGTCCATAGCCAATATTAAAGCACTTTCCCCTCATTACTGAGAACACAAACAACAATCAGCTTCTGAATGAATTTTCATGGTTTATCATGAATATCAATCAGACTACTATATACCCCAAATTAAATACATCAGTGGTGAAGTTGATAGTCTCTGGTTGAGATGCCTGGATGAACAGTCGTCATGTTTCCTTTAGCATAAATGGCATCTTTTACATATGTAACATCAGACAATTTCATTACAGGAATGGTGCCAGGATTTCCCCGACGGGGGGAGGGGTTTTCCTCGATGAGAAGATTTCCTCGATGAGAGCAAAGTGGGGGTGGTTGCTTAAAATGTTTCGAGAGTGGTCCAGGGGCGAACCCCCAAGAAAATTTGACAATTTAGGGGTTTAAAGGCTTGTTTAATCGATTTTAGAGTCTATTAATATGTACAAAATACATATAATTTTTTTTTCTCCCTGATAAATTGCGGTTTTTCTCCCTGATGGGGGGGGGACAGCCCTCCCTATGGGGGAGCCATGGCCTCTCTCAGCCCCCCACTGGTGCCACCCCTGTTCCATTAATTTCATTTGGTAAGTTCAGCTAAAGAAAACTTGGCATATGAGGCTTGCCATCCAAAAACCAGCATACTGTTACTAATTGTTAAACTGAGTAATTAGCACAAGAATGTGGCAGTATTGTACACTTCAGTACAGAGAAGCTGTAATACTTTTAACCATAACTTTGGCAATAGAAAGTCAATTCCAGTAAATGACCCATCATTTTATATTTCCATTTGTCACTAATGCTGGTTTTGGAATGGCAAGTCTCATATTTTATTTCATCCAGGTAAACATTTTAAAAAACAGACTTACAGGCAGCTTGGGTAACTTGGAGGGATGAGCATGATTACGTCTAGAATGGAAGAGCGAGAGAGGCAGTTTGGTCGAAACATCTGTTACATCTGCTTTAAATGCAATGTCTGGTTTAAAGGCTCTTGCAGCTGCAATGATAGAGCCATTAGGATAATTTTTTTAACAAGTTTCTTGTAATTTTCTTAAAACTTGTCTTAAAAACACCTTTTCTTTTCTACTTACAGCATAGATTTCATTAATAAAACAACTACTTTTTGTTACATATAAATAGATGATGATAGAATCTTGATTTACATATTTATTTATTTTAAATACCTACCAAGACGGATTCGAACATCCAACATCTGGTAGATTTTGGACTTCGGGTCTTTCCTAGGATCATATCCAATTTTACACCATAAAGCTCTCCATGGTCCTGTCACAAAGTAGTATGCCATGCTGGGTAGGATGACTTTGATGTTCTTGAATTCCAAGTTAGCATAACCCATCATGGATGTACGTGACCAAATTGGACGCTCCTCAAATAACTAATAATAAAATCTATTGATTATTACTTTTTTATTATGATTCTTATTTGTAATAATTGATGAAATATGCATTGTTACACACATACACAGCTACATTATACAAACAGAGATTACTATCAGCACCACAGATCCTTACCACTACCCAAGCCCCTCCCCGTAACACACTGACCTGCTTACATCATACCAACACTTTCCCACATCACATTGACCTTCAACACCATACATAGATAAAATCTTTGACATACCCTCAACTTATGCACTGACCTTTCTTGCATCCTCTTACATTGGCACCCCCCTACTTACACAAACACAGATCCTCAAACCATACACAGATGCTCATCCTCTTGTATAAGTCCTCACTCACTTAGATCCACACATTTTACACTTACCATTCATTATAATTTTACACTTAAAAGTTTGTTTTACACTTACATATACCCTTTCCATAGCCTATTACAATATCGTCACCCCTTACATAACCCTGATCAACACAATACTAAGTGAATGAATCATTGTTTTAACTTGATGTCAAAGAAACTTACTTTTTTCATCTTCTGCACATCTTCCTGAAGTTGATACCGCTTTAAAATCTCGATGGCAGCTGGTAATGGCTCTAGGGGAATCCCCTTATCTTCAAATTTCAAAAATATCGCATTGTTATTTCTTCGATCTCTGTCAGTACCAACTAAATGGGCTTCTTGTAAGATCTTGCTTTTCATTATTCGTGCTTGTTTCTCTTGTTTGTAGTTATAGTCACAAGGAATATCCACACGAGAGAAAGCTTCAGGAAGAACAAATAATGGAACATCCCGTTTGAAGTAAGATGAGTCCTCTAGTTTCCTCGGAACTATTTTATCAATTATGGACTCAAACGTTCCAGAACTGTTTTTAACCATAGGAAGATACTGAAAATCTACGAAGCCTAGTTTAAAAAAAAAAAAGAAGCAAAACATATAAAATATGTGTATAAAATAATTCAAATATAAACTGCCTAATGCTAATAAAATATAAGAATACTTCCAATATTTGAATCGCTTCCTTTTTTATATTTATGTTAGTTAATATTTTTCATTTACAAATTGGAAGAAGAGAGTATTTCTCACAAATTAACATATTTCCTATCTTCTATACACCATTTTTGCTAAATTTGAAATAAAAATTTCCGAGAACCTGGCAACTACCACTGAGGGACAACCAGAGGCCTAGGCATTCGCTTTACGTAGTAATACCAGTGTTTATCTGTGCTCTGTGAATGGAGCACGACTTTTTGGATGTAGAGGCCTAGCCTAGTCTTTGAAAATAATAGGCCAAAACATAAAATAAGAAAATAGGGGCGCATAAAACCTGCAGTGTTTCTGGTTTTCAAAGTACTCAAAGAAAATGTCTAGAAAAACAAAATTTGCTCAGACTAGGCTGCTGGATGTCGCCTAGTGAAAATTTGTGAGACGTTGGTGGTGCTGTTTCAAAACAGAACCGATAAAATGGTGTATTTTATTCCTTATAAAGAAATTAAAACTTATTACCACAACTAAGAAATTCAAATGTTGAATTTTCATCTTCTTCAAGCATTTGAATAAACTACTTACTATTAAATTTATAACTTGTCTCAATAACTCCAACAATCTCAGCCTGATATTCTTCTTCCATCTTTCCCTCAACTTCAGCATCACTTGACCTATTTTTCCTGCATCTTCTGCGCACCTTCAGAAGAAGTCTTTCCGTTGGCACAGCCTCACCAGTGCAGCAATGTGAGTAAGGATCATCGGGTCGGAAATGCAAATTCAATCGTTTAGTTTTATCAGCCATCACCTGCATATCAATTGAAGAAAAAGTGTAGCTGTTTATGCAGCTAATGTGAAGCTACAATGCCTAAAAACAGTAACTGATTGTACCTATTGTACATGTACGTGATTTGTTTTGAATAATGTTATACAAAATCAACAATACAGTTATTTACGTTTACGTAGGTATACTGTATGACTGCAAAGGACCTAATGGTCCATAACATTGCAGGATAACAAGGAGCTGTATGGACCCGTACACTGGGGTAACCTACTTATGTACTGTACTGTACTGTTCTTTAAAGTGCACATGATCCAATTGTGTACATTGAGCCTGCAGTTTTTGACACAGGAAGCATGGATGCTTTATTACCGTGGAGACTGCCTCCTCTCAATGTTTCCATGTCGGCCATAAATAGGTATGTTACAAATCGTGACGTCACATTTCCTAGTTTTGGTCACTTGTTCAATGGTGGGCTTGCACTTTCGTGTCAGGCTGAAATTGGGTTTTTAATCTTTAAAAATGCCAATTCTCATTGGATATTGCTGATGTCATACATTAATATGCAGATTAAAAGTCAAAGAAAGGTTACACATTTGTTTTGTTTTCATCCATCTTTTAGTTTCTCTGTAGCTGACGTTTTAACTTTATTATATACTCAAATAAAATTCCATTTTTTAAGCAGAAAAGAAAGTAAATATGAATTTCTAAAGATAATACAAGTACAACCCTATGTTAGATAGATAAGTAATTAATATTTTTACCAAATATGAAGAAATTTTTTTTTATAAGCTGAGAATTCAGCCACCTACCCACAAACCACAGTGCTGGGGAGGCCTAGCCTAGTAGGAGGGCTAGGGCCTAGACCTAGTAGCTAGGAATAGGTAGGAGTAGGAGGCTTGACAGTGACACAGTACCTTCGAAATATTTTCTTGACCTCCAAAACACTCCATCATTTTATCAACATTTTCTACTTTCCCAGGAAATTCAACACAAACGATGCGTTTACTTGAATATGGCAATGGTACATTCTGATCTGTACCTTCTTTTGCCATGTTGCAAACAAACGTAAACACGCATGTAAAGGTTGAAGGTTATCTTTTCCAAAATGTTTGTAGGGCGCCCCCTGTCTAACAAAATTATAAAACTTCAAAGATCTTATAAACTTTGCTGCGCCTCTCTTTTTAATTTGGTTTCAGATCAGACAATATTGCTGTATAAAAACTTTAGCCCGTTAAAAAGTCTAGCTTGGCGTAGCCTAGTCTTAATTTAATACACTAACCTATAAAGCTAGTAGTAAGTATATTTTTAACATTCAAACATATGCATAATATAATAGATTATATCGACTATCCTATCGCAAATAGGCCTAGGCCTAGTTCGGTTCGGCCAGGGCAGGGGGCTAGGCCTAGCCTAAGGGCCTAACGGTAGGCTAGGCCTAGGTCTACTTAATAACCCTAGCAGTAGTAGCAGGTCTACTTAATAACCCTAGCAGTAGTAGCCTAGTAGGACCCTAGGCTAGGCAGCTTTTATTTTTTTATCCAAATTTTTGTATTGAAAGATTACTAGCATTATTAAACATTTGAATTGCCGGTGATAATCTACATGCATGGCAGATTTATCACACACAGGGGCGCAGTTGGCATGCACCCTCCCCCTCCCCTCCCCTCCCCCACTAAATGTTTCAAACAAAATTATTTTTAAAATTGAAAAAAAAAATTATATTCATATTGAGGTCTTAGAGTGCATTTCCAGGTGCCATAATCATAAATTGTCTTCCCTCAGCCCAACCATAGGGCTGAGGTAGTCTAAATAAACCCTCAATCTCATTTGTGATGCCCCTCTATTTTAAATTTTTGGATCTACCACTGATAAAACAATTCCTATATTGCTTAACCCCAATTTTTCTTTTTTGTTAAGATTTACTTAGAAATTCAAAGAGAAGATCAAAAATGGTTGGAAAACGAACAGCTTCAGAGTCAAATAATAACAGAAGGGATAAAAGGTGATTAGTATCAGTTTTAACAGGAATAAGTTTGAGACAGCACTATACAGACTTGCCTCCTAAGTATTTTAGCTCAGTTGAAAATATATGCTACCGCTTCAGTACTTAATTTAATCCCATGCATGCAATTGTCATTTATTTCATATACTTTATATATAAAAATTGATTGCTTCATTTAATGATTGTGAGCCAGAGATCTGGTACTTTATTCAAGGATTTTTAACTGTTACCAGGATAGGAAGAATTAGCTTTATGTGCGGTATTGTTATGCAAATGAGCCAGATAAGCACAATCTGCACATGCTCAGAAAAACAAAACTTTCCTTGCCGCACGATGTCCACTCTGCGTATTGGTTAGGCGTACAGCTAGGCCTAGCCGAGAATTACGGTACGGTAAAACAAAGCAAAATAAGGGTACTAATTTCACTTGGCATGCAAATCAATCATACTTACACACTTAAAAACAAACTAGTCTACCAATAAAATCAGCTGCAAGTTAAGATATAAGGCAAGTATGTCTACAAATTTTATTTTAAATTGATGTGATTAGGCTGGCCTGGACCCGGCCTAGGCCATGTCTAACCGCTTATAAAAAAGCAGAAAAAAGACCCAAAACAAATTAGAATGAAGTTATCAATTAACTAGTGCATTAAAATTATTCATATACTTACTACTTACGTACCTATATAAAATTAAAGTGTATTGCTCACAAACGCCAATATTTGGATTTTAATACACCTTTTCCCCGAATCAGTAGACATCTCGAAGTGATGACAAACAGCCTAAGTCAGTCGTGCGTAACAAACAAAAATAAGATAAGCTAGGCCTAGCTGTACGCCTAGCCGATACGCAGTGTGGAAAGGAAAGTTTTGTTTTTCTGAGCATGTGCAGATTGTGCTTATCTGGCTCATTTGCATAACAATACCGCACATAAGGCTAATTCAAGTTAGATGGCTTAAACCAGCCAGCTTCCTATCCTGGTAACAGTTAAAAGTCCTTGATATAATAAGAAGGAAATTGTCTTTCGGTGTACTGTCAATTTACCATCATAACAACCCTACTTGTCAAAAAGTTTTTGCCTAGTACATTATCCTTTAAGTGTTTCGTCCAAAAATAATTCTTAAATCCAATCCAATCAATCTGAAAATATTTGCAAATGGAAGTGGTGAACAAGTGTTAAGGGCCTTAAATGATTTGGCTGTATTACGTTTTTAATTCATTGATGAGTGCTTTAAATTTAATTTTAAGTAAATTATTTCAATTATTTCCTTCAGTGCTTTGACAATTGTAAATATCCTGATACACAGTGGTGTTTCTACAGTAGTCTTGAAATGGGCGGAGGGGGGATGATGGTGGGGGGCTCAAAGGTTAAGTGGGATCTCAATGATTAAGTGATTGATGCTAGCTTGCAAAATAAGGGAATATGAGGTGATTTTCATACTGCTGTACTTGAGCGTGATTTTTTTTTTTTTTTTTTTGCTTCAAACCTTTTTATTGGTGTCGGGAGCATGCCACTAGATATACCACTGCAATACATAGATAATATTACTATTAAATGCCAACATATTGAATATATTTCAGTGGCAATTGACCATTGTTCTTTTCATATCTCGATAATGATTTGTTACTCTCTAAATCACAAATATAAAAAAAATCACTGTAAAGTTTATCTGGGTTCAGAATAAATTATTTATAAGAATATAAATGAGTTAGTTATGTTTCGTATAAATAATTTATAAGAAATATAAATAAATGAGTTAGTTTCATATTAAATACAACTAACAATTTATTTCATTATTGTCAAGAGCATGCACAGGATCAGAATAAATTATTTGTAAGAAATTGTAAGAATTAAAAAATAAATGAGTTGGATAAATCATTTATTTATAAAAAATGAGTTACTGTAGTTGTAAATAATTTTTGATAAGAAATATAAATATGAGTTCATTTTGAATACAAATTAATTTCATTTTTGTCATGAACACAGTCTTGATCAGTATAAATTATTTATAAGAAATATAAATAAATG